CTGGGCATCTTCGGCTTCTCCTTCCTGGACCAGAACCGCGATGCCATTCAGGGTTCTCTGATCAACGGCGTCGAGCCGACCTTCGATAACATCGCCGCCGGCGACTACGGTGTGTCGCGCTCGCTGTACTTCTACGTGAAGAACGAGCATGTCGGCGTCATCCCCGGGATCGAAGAGTACATCGCCGAGTTCACCTCGGACGACTCCTGGGGCCCCGATGGCTACCTGGCCGATCGTGGTCTGATCCCGCTGCCCGAGGACGATCGCGCCGAGATGCAGCAGCAGGCGCGCGGCCTTCAGAAGCTGACGATGTAGGTTTCTGACACTTAGCTCAGGTTCGATGTCCGGCGGTCGGCTGAAGATCAAGCCGACCGCCGGCTCGGCCTGAAAAACACCAAGCGGTATTTTGCGAAGTCTCTTCTTTTGAAAGTTCTCAAACAGGGCTGCCAGGTCTTGTAGGCCGCAAGCTCTGAGGTGGGTACAACGAAGGCTGGCCACGGACGGTGAAGCCGAACCAGCCGAGCGGCGGAAAGTTGATCTGAAAGTACTGCGGAGTCGCTGCTNNGTCCGGCGTTACAGGTAAAACAGGATCCTGGAGCGGTATCGCTCTGGTTGGCCTCAAGGCGGCAGGCCAGTCGTTCGGAATACGCGGTCGGGGACGCGTGGAACTATGGGTATCTCAGTCGTTCTCTTTGTCATGCTGGGTTTGACTGTCGCCGGCTATCTGCTTGGCACGCGACAGGCCTATGCAGTCACCGGCAACAGGCCTCATCAGCTTCATTCGCTGCCCAGCTACCACGGTCTCTATCTGGCATCCTGGGTCCTGCTACCAGCCTTGGTGTTGATGGTGCTTTGGTTGATCGCCGAGCCGCATGTCGCGGAGATTCGGCTGGTCGCCAATCTGCCGGACGACTTCTCGCAGCGCAGTATCGATCAGCAACAGCTTCTGATCGGCGATATCAAGGCGCGGGCGCTGGGCGGTATCGTCTCAGGCGCTTTGGACCCCGTCTATCAGACCGCTGGTCAGGTCTACGCCGACACCCTGGCCGCGAGCCGCTGGCTGATGATCGCCGTGATGGTGGCCTTGATGGCCGGGGGCGGTCTTCTGGCGCTGCGGCGCGTGCAGCCGGATATGCGTGCCCGCAACAAGGTCGAGCAAACCGCCTCGATCATCATGATCATCGCCTCCACCATCGCGATCATGACGACGATCGGGATCATCTTCTCCCTGCTGTTCGAAACCGGGCGTTTCTTCAGCAAGGTGCCCATTACGGAGTTCCTGTTCGGCACCCAGTGGTCGCCCCAGATCGCGCTGCGTGCCGACCAGGTCGGATCGTCGGGTGCGTTCGGCGCGATCCCCCTGTTTGCCGGAACGTTGCTGATCACGCTGATCGCGATGTGCGTCGCGGTACCCATCGGCCTTTTCAGCGCCATCTACATGTCGGAGTATGCCGGAAAGAAGCTTCGCTCCTCCGCCAAGCCCGTGCTGGAGATCCTGGCCGGCGTTCCGACCGTGGTCTACGGCTTCTTCGCGGCGCTGACCGTGGCACCCTTCTTTCGGAATACCGGTGAATCCATCGGGCTGACCGTCTCGTCCGAATCCGCCCTGGCTGCCGGAATCGTCATGGGGATCATGATCATCCCCTTCGTCTCCTCCCTGTCCGACGACGTGATGAACGCCGTTCCTCAGTCCCTGCGCGACGGCGCTTACGCGCTGGGGGCCACCAAGGCGGAAACAGTCCGCCAGGTGATTCTGCCGGCGGCGCTCCCGGGCATCGTCGGTTCGGTGCTGCTGGCGGTCAGCCGTGCGGTGGGGGAAACCATGATCGTCGTGATGGCGGCGGGTCTGGCCGCCAACCTTACCGCCAATCCGCTGGAAGCGGTCACGACCGTGACGGTTCAGATCGTCACGCTGCTGGTCGGGGACCAGGAGTTCGACAGTGCCAAGACCCTGGCCGCCTTCGCCCT